TTGTAAATAATAGGTCATGATGGATTAATGCTTACAGATGAATTAATTTATACAAAATATTTTAAAATTGCATTCAATTTGAACATTTGACATTTGAAACAATGTTAGTTAATGAATACTAAAATCATTATATCCATTGTATATAGAAAAGTGAAATTGTTGCTCTTTATTGTTGAAATATTTTGTTATATATTTGTTTATAATACATTTAATAATAAATATATTTCTATATTCTAAGTTATTAAAAAAAGAAAATTACAATAATCTTTCATTTATATAAATCTTTAATTTTTTTTATTTATAAAAAGTTTCTATATTATGTTTTATACAAAATTTTTAATTATAATTTTGTGTTATAATGAAAATTTTTGATTCTATTCCCAAGATAAGGAAAAAATAAATTTTACAAAAATATTTAAATAATTTATTTTACATGGACCATCCTTTGCATTAACTTCAGCTTTAATGGTTGCAATGTTCTTTCATAGAGTCGGTCGATATTTTCTCAAATAAAAATAATGCTCAACTTTGAGTAAAAAAATATTATAATTATTTGAGCATCATTTTTAGGCTAAGAAACCAATATTAGATTAAAATTAATCAATATTAGTGATACTTAATATTCAACATTTATTCTATAACTATTTAAAAATTTGTTTTCACTTATAATATTTATTAATTAAATTAATATTATTAAATTATAATTTAATATTATTAAATTAAAGAATTAAAAAATTGAAAATCAAAATATGAAAAATATATACTCTATTTATATATACTCTATTTTTATTATTGAATTATGCATAAAAATTATGTCTCGTAATTGAAATATATAGAAATTTTATTTGGATTCGTAAAATTGTTACAAAAGTTAAAATGGATAAAGAAAAGCATGTGAGACTAACAATGACGAATAAATGATGTAATTGATAAAAAACTAGTATTTTATTTTATATGTATATAAAGACAGAAAATATTTTATATGTATATAAATTGAATCATATAATATAATATCACAGATGAAATTGATTTGTATTATTTATTTGCACTTTTCATTAGGATTATTTATTAATAAATTCATAGTAATATGTAATATATATGATTTTGATTTTAAGTAAATTATAAAATAAATTTAATATAAATTTAAAATACTTTGATTTTATTTTTTGATATTCTTTGATAAAATTTAATTTAATTTTGATATAGAAAATTGTTAATTTAAAGTTCGACATTTAATTCTAATAATAATAATAATAAAATATAATTTAAATTTATTCTAAGTTATTTAATGTAATTGAATTTTCTTTTAATATTATTTATAAAAATTATAAATTTTACAAAAATAATGATAAATAAAGACTGAATATTTCATTCAGGATAAAATTTTGATTTGCGGAATTGTATTATACTGAATGTGATCATCGTATGACGTGCGAGAGAAAAATGTGAATGACGAGTCCATGATTCTATACATATAAGAAAAAAAGGAAATGTTCAATAAATTAATTGTTGCTGTTGCATTTGCAATTAAAAGATTCTAAATAATTGTCAATTAAAATTATTTCGTTTTTTATTTTTTTCTAAGTTTGTTAATTTTCGAATAAAAATTAAATTTTTTTAAATCATGATTAAAATATCTAATATGTTTTATTACATTTTTAATTTTATTTTTTATATATTATGAAAATATAAATAAAAAAATATATTAATGATGTTATTTAAAAAATTTTAATAATGCTTTTAAATTTTATTTGCGGCAAAAAATTCTTCATTTCATATCAATATATTTTTAAATATTTTTTTATTATATTATCAAAATCAATTTAAATTTATTGCATGATTAATTCTTAGAATATCTTGTATATTCATATTATATGTAAATTAATTTTATCGTTGAAAATATAGTTTTCGGGAATAATAATCGGGAAATTATAAAACTTTTATAAACTTTCTATTTAAAAATATTTGTTATATAAATTGATAAATTTGTATATTTGTATTATCGATTACTATTGAACATTTTCTAATTCATTATTGCAACAGTAAGTATTATAGATAATCTTCTGATTACATTATTCTTAAATATTATATTTATTATATTTTTCGACATTTATCCAAATATGATAAATAAATAATTTTTGTTTAAAATTTCTAAATTAGTTACATTTTTATATTTATATTCTTAAAAATTGTTTAAATAATTATTTTTTTAATTAAGAAAAATAAAAAATCAATTTTAATTTTTACTTATA